ACTTCAGCTATTTGTTTTCTTCTTTGTTTCTGGATAAGCAGCTTAACTGTTGTGCCTCAACTTGTCATATCTGTAATGACTGTCATCCTCCCTTAATTCCTGGGATGCATTTCTTCCTTTGCTGTATTTTACATACTTTCCTCTTCTCCTATGGAGAAGTGGGACAAGGGAATTTAAATTTTTAGCCCATCTTAGTACATATTTTTCCCCCTCCTGGTAATCTGTAATCTTGGCCTAAATCTTTTTTTTTTTTTTTTTTTTTGGTTCCTTAGAATTTGAAGTTATTTTTCTTCCATTATTGCTGATGTGAAGTCTGATGTATTTCCTGGCCTTTGTGGGATTTTTGTTTCTCTCTGGGTCTTTTATGGTCTTTCCTCTGTCTCTAGTGTATTGATGATGAGCCTGATGTACTGTGTCTGTGTGTGAGTTTTCACTCATTACAGTGGTGTAATCTTGCAATCCACAACTCCCCTGGCCTTGTTTCTCCTGCTAGCTAACAGCTCGACTGAGATGGGATGAATTAACCCCTTGGCCATGGCTTCATTCTGGTCCTTCTTTTCCTTCCCCCTTCAGACACCAGGTAGAGTGGGAAAATATAGAAACTAAAGTCCTTCCTCTAACCTGTGTTGTGTCCAAGCCTTTTGACAGCACTATGACGAGAGTATTTCGGCTTTTGGTGGGTTAGTGCGCCAGACTGTGTGTTCCTGAATGTAAGCATTTAAGCCCTTAACAGCTGTTAAGGCAGTTCCTCCCAGAATTAGCACCTGAGGTTAAGATTTGGGAGGAAGTAGATCGTTAAGGAAGTGTTCCCAGGAACAGCCTGTAAAGGACACGGGAAGGCAGACAGATGAGGGGAAGAAATCAAGTGAATCCCCAGCTGCAGCCTGATTCTGAGGAAAGCTCTGCATCATGATGTTACACCTTAGAGTTTGCCCCACTTCCCAGCAAAGGGGCCAGCCCTCTGTACTTCTGCATCAGTCATTGGTTAAAGAATTGTTGTGATAGCAGAAAACTCCCAGGAGTTTATAGGTCTCAGTACTGGCAAAGTAACCTCATTGACTGAAGGGAATTCTCTGAAAGTCTTGGTGTGAGCCCTCACCAGCAAAGCATGGAGAAGCTGGAGGGTGGATCCCAGTGCTGATAAAGAGGACCCAAGCAAAGCTGAGCAGCACCAACATCCACTAAATTCTAGTTTCATCTCCAAAGAATCAGCAAATTAAGAAGTGGCCATCCCTCATAATGTGTTTTGCAGTTTACGAGATTTTTTGTTTTTTTCTCTCTCATCTCTTATTGCAATTGGTCTTCAGAGCAATTTTGTAAGGAAAGAGGAACAAAATTATTCTTATTTTTCAAGAATCGTGACTTTTCAAACATTTTCAAACTCTAAGCCTAGGGTTTATTCCAGCATGTTGCATCACATTCAAGAGTCTTGTAAATATTTTATATAGACATGGAATGCATACAAATACAAACCTTAATCAGAAGAAGCATTATGACTTTTTTAACTTAAAATAAACTATTATGAGGAATAATCTGCTTTTCAGTTTTAAAACTGTTCCCATTCAGTGCATCCAACATTACACAGAAGAAAAGGGTTAAGTGGCAAGCTCCATATCAGATGTCTTTTAAGTTTAGTTCCCACAGCCTTTGAAGGCCTCTCCCTGTTTCATTACTCAGATGACTTAATTAAAGCCAATGTGAAGGAAACACATTAAAAGGTTCCTGGAGTACCACAAGAGGTTGATTCATTTAGAAAGTACTTGGAGTTCTTCCATCATTTTCCCATATGGACCTATTTACATATAACACTTATGACTCATGACATTGCTGCCAAAGTAAGGAATATTTTTCCATAAATATTTCCAGTAACTCTTACAGTCTGTTAGCGACACATCAGACACTTCTTGTAGTTCAATAATCACTTATCTATAAAGAGTTTGCTTTCACCTCCCAGTTCTGCTAACGCTAGACCAACCACTAATGGGGAAGCTCTCCGTGATATGATAAATACAGAGATGCTGAGAACAGTTTACACCTTAGATTTCTCAGAACTAAACAGCTTCTATTGTGTTAGCTCCCCTCCTGTCGCTTAGACCCTTTATCCTTTCTGGATGATCTAAGACAGTGCTTTTCAAACCTGGCAGCACATTAAAATCACCTGGGGAGCTTCAACATACACAGATGCCCTAACTCTGCCCCCAGCTAATTAAATCAGAGTCCCAGGCACTGGTCTGTTTAAAGCTCCCATGTAATATTATCATACAAAGTTGAGTATACTGACCTGAAACAGAAGAAGATGTGATGGGTCCGCTGGTGTCAGGAATCAATTTGGTTGTCTTCCATATCTTAGTGGCAACTTTTCAATTCCTTTTTAACTGAGAATTTCTTCACTTATTTTGGTCTTTTTTGCAGGTCTGGTCAACCAACTTGAGATCATTTTGGGGCAAACATAGTGCTTAATGATATTACATCTAAACCTAGTAGCAGTTTTTTGACATAGTTTAAACATATTAGAAAAAGAAACTGTTGTATCTTATAGAATCTGAAAACTGAAACGTTTTTATCTTAATGCTTCTGAGCTTCACTTTCTTTCCATGAGCTCATCAGAAAGGGGATCAGCAGTTATCTCCTATATTTTCATCTCAGCTTTTCTATCAACCTTCCACTATTCTCCTGACCTGTTACTATTTCCTAAGTCTGTTCCTTAGATTTTTAGTACAAGAAATCACCTGTGATGGTTTTAGAAATATAATTCCCTAGGCCTACCCTTATTAGGCCAAAGAATCTGCATCATTATATTTTAACCTGCTTCCTAGGTAATTCTCATGAAGGTAATACATAGAGCCCAGTTTAAAAAACAAAAGTCTAATTTCTTTATTTATTGTTATTTTTTCAAGAATGAAAGAAGGAATCACGGTCAGTTCAGTGGCTCAGTCGTGTCTGACTCTTTGTAAACCCATGAACCACAGCACGCCAGCCCTCCCTGTCCATCACCAACTCCTGGAGTTTACCCAAAACCATGTCCATTGAGTCGGTGATGTCATCCAGCCATCTCATCCTCTATCGTCCCCTTCTCCTCCTGCCCTCAATCTTTCCCAGCATCAGAGTCTCTTCAAATAAGTCAGCTCTTTGCATCAGGTGGCCAAAGTATTGGAGTTTCAGCTTCACCTTCAGTCCTTCCAATGAATATTCGGGACTGACTTCCTTTAGGATGGACTGGTTGGATCTCCTTACTGTCCAAGGGGCTCTTAAGAGTCTTCTCCAACACCACAGTTCAAAAGCATCAATTCTCCGGTGCTCAGCTTTCTTTATAGTCCAAATCTCACATCCATACATGACCACTGGAAAAACCATAGCCATATCTAGAGAGACCTTTGTTGACAAAGTAATGTCTCTGCTTTTCAATATGCTGTCTAGGTTGGTCATAACTTTCCTTCCAAGGAGTAAGCATCTTTTAATTTCATGGCTGCAGTCACCATCTGCAGTGATTTTGGAGCCCAGAAAAATAAAGTCAACCACTGTTTCCCCATGTATTTTCCATGAAGTGATGGGACTGGATGCCATGATCTTAGTTTTCTGAATGTTGACCTTTAAGTCAACTTTTTCACTCTCCTCTTTCACTTTCATCAAGAGGTTCTTTAGTTCTTTGCTTTCTGACATAAGGGTGGTGTCATCTGCATATCCGAGGTTATTGATATTTCTCCCAGCAATCTTGATTCCAGCTTGTACTTCTTCCAGCCCAGTGTTTCTCATGAGTGTACTCTGCATATAAGTTAAATAAGCAGGGTGACAATAGACAGCCTTGACGTACTCCTTTTCCTATTTGGAACCAGTCTATTGTTCCATGTCCAGTTCACTTTGATATTGCTGTTTTGTTCCCTTCCATTCTGTGAGTTAACACATGAGAAAGATTCTACTTAATTATTTGATGTAAAGTATATACACATACTGGAGAAGGGCATGGCAACCCACTCTAGTATTCTTGCCTGGCGAATCCCCATGGACAGAGGAGCCTGGCGGACTACAGTTCAGGCAGTTGCAGAGAGTAGGACATGACTGGAGTGACTTAGCACCCACACATACACATATACATACCCATGCTTATGTCTATGTATTTAATAACTGATGAATTCATATCTCACTTTGGTGTTATGATTGGTAGTATGTGACAAGAGAAGAAGTCTTTGGAAAATTATATATGTCTAATGAATGTAATGATTATTTGCTATATATTTAAAAATATTCTGTAGATAAAAATATCCACATGTCAATTCTAATTTTTCTTTAATGTTTCTTGATATTGGCCTCCTGTTTAGGAGGTGTTGTATTGCTCCAGGATAGATATTTTATTACAATGTGGTAATTATTATAAAACTTTGTTCTTTTGGGGAGGATAGGTTAGGTTTTAACTAAAAACCTCTAGGGATCCTTTAATATTATAGAGCATGTATTTTTTTTTAATTTTTTAATGTACTTTAGTTTATGGTTTTGATGAATAGTGTATATTGAGTATTTAAAATGTGTGTTTTTAAATTTTATATGCTAACTGGAAAACAGAAAAATGTTGATTTACGTTATAAACTGCATTAAACCACATTAAATTTTTAAAATATATTTTTGACAACATAAAAAAATGTATATACTTTAAATTTTCAGCTAACAATTTTTTAATTGTTCACATGTTTTAAATTTTAAATTTGAGATCAACTTTATTCCTTTGGGCCCAACAAAATAACTTTAATTTTCTTTCCATTAAAATTCTGCAAGCAAATCATTTAGGAAAAGTGTACTTTTAAGAAGTCTTAGAATAATAGAATTGTATGTGACTAAGTAATGTGTTAACATTTTCATATAATGTAAAATAATATAAATTAATAACTCCTCTGTGCTGGATTTGGATTTGAATTACTATCACATCATTCTATTATTCCATGCTATATTTTAAAACGATTTCATGATAGATGACGTGGCAACACCTGTCTCACAGTGACCATTTTCAGTTTCTTGGCAGCACAGAAGTAGAGCAGCCCAAGGGAACAGAAGTTGTGAGAGATGCTGTAAGGAAACTCAAGGTAAGCAAGCCCTCGAAGTAAGTGTCTCATATACTGAACTTACCTTCGGTCATCAGTAGACTGATGCAATTTCAAAGCATCAATAGCTCTGTGGCAGATAAGTCTTAGTAAAAATATGCTGTTAAATGAATACCACTAGATCAAGGAAATGTATTTAATGATAACTATGTAGACACAATTATTTTTCAGAATGTGGCACAGTCTTCATGGTTTCTTAAGGTGTAATTTTTTATACTCAACAACAGAAAAATGTAACAGCAATATTTCATAAGTGTTGCCATTCTGTAGCTTGCCTTCACTTTGCTTGGGCAATGTGGACTCATGCCCTAACTCAAAGACAACAATTTCCTATAGTTAGAATATCGAACCCCCCAGTTGAAAATGTAGAAGTAAAGTTCATTCCAAAGCAGCATTTTGCAGTGACACTGTACGTTAAAGACATACTAATGGACAAACCTACAAAGGTCTGGCCATATCCATGAGCAGACTCAGGGAACTGGTGAAAATAAAAGCAGAAAAGAACAGTAAGCAGCTCCACATACTCATAATCAGCAAATTTCCTGAGAAAATCTTACATAATTGCCATGCATTCTTTGCATGTTTTTCTAATTGCGTTCCATCCCCAAAGACATTGTTTCCTCTGAGATATTAAGAATCAAAAACTCCTTCATCAGAATTCTCATGTTTATCATCACATTAAGAAAATTTAACATAAAAATATTTTGTTAACACACTTTATTGTTATTCTCTCTGGTTGTTCTCAGAATATTTTTGAGAAACAACCCTCTACTAACTTTATTTAGTTTTGAGATTATCCAATTATTCTATAAGATGGGTAGGCCTCTGCACCAGACAAAGCCACATAAAATGTATTAGTTTGCTTTGAGAATGTCATATTGGGTGGAATTTACTGAGTGTTTAAATTGAGAAAAAAATTGAAGAGAGGTGGCTTGTTTTCTGGGTAAAGAAGTAAAAGTAGATAAATTTTATCCATTTATTTTACATAATTGTTATATTTTAAAAATATTTTCTATTTTTCCTGTTTTTAAAGAAATATACTAAAAGGTTCCAAGGTGATATCACTCCCATTTGGAAAAAAAAGGGACAAGTCAATCATTACTTTTAACAATTCATTAGACAAAAAAAAATTAGACTTCCCTTGTGACTCAGTTGATAAAGAATCTGCCTGCAATGTGGGAGACCTGGGTTTGATCCCTGCGTTGGCAAGATCACCCTGGAGAAGGGAAAGGCTACCCACTCCAGTATTCTGGCCTGGAGAATTCCATGGACTGTATATCCCATAGGGTCGCAAAGAGTTGGACACAACTGAGTGACCTTCACTAGACACAAATGTACCTGTGCTTGTTTGGCAAATACTTTTAAGCCCTAAAACAGGATTTAAAAGGTCTCACAATTTATGGACAACACTTAGTATAAGATTCCATCTAAATGTTCAAAATGTTGCATACTTTGGACATGAGTCCAACTTCACTATAATCAGAATGTTTATAAAAGAATAATGATATTTACACTTACTGTTTCTTTGTAACTAGGAGGTCCTTTATGAAATGAACCCAAATCCAAACCTCAAAGTATTCAATTATTTAGTGAGTGATAATATATAAAAAGATATTTGAGATGAAATGTCTTCTGAAAAAGGCTAGTATTTATGTGATTTTGTGAAACTTTGTATTTAGTTCTTATGTAGTTGCATGTTTGGAAATGTACTCTGTTAATAAAGGAATGTGATTTACAATAAGATAAAAATCATGCAATGTAGTTTAAAAAATGTATACTCAGTTGATAATAGCTTTTCTCTTTCAAATACCTTTCAGAATACTTAATCTTATAAACAATCTTTAGTCTGTTGATTGCAAAATGTTTGTAGATCAGGGAAATATATATAAAGGTAATGATTCATGAAATAATTAAAATAATAAAAAATGTTATTTATTCATTTCTATCTTAATTTTTTTGTTTATTGTGTCAAAGGTCGGAAGCTACAACTCAAAATATATGAGTATTTACATTTAAGAACTTAGACACTGGCTCCTCTTTAATTCTGTCATCATGTAAAGATAGCCAGAAGATGGTGCTATGGTTCTACTAAAAAAAAAGAAAAAGAACAATTTGCTTATTAACTGGGTTTTGGGTACACATATCTAATTTTAATTTACTGCTTATTTTTCGTAAATATATGTATTCTGTGTACTTTCTTATCCACTATATTTCAGTATTTGATTTTATTTTCCCCACAAGGTAACATTTTATTTAAACCTTATAATTTTTCAGATGTTTGCAATATTAATCTATTAGCTTCTGACATTAAAGAAATATTCAAAATTTAAGGCTAACACAAGATGATAGAAAACATCCATGATTTTCAATAATGTATTTTTATGCTGCTATGATTATTTATGCCTAATTATTTCTCAAGAAAAATGTTAAAACTTTATTTTATTGGGTACTATTTTTCTGTTGTTTTGTGGAGAATTTACAATTTATAAAGTTTTCTTCAATATCATAATTTTTATGTGTTTACTTTCAAAAGTTCTATATATGACAAAACAATATATTTTCTATTTCTCGATCACATTCAACAATTTCCATCTCTTAATCATGTTTTAGTCTATGATTTAAGAAAATGCCAAAATTTTCAAAAAGTAATAATTATAAAACCCTTTCAACTTCTTACTTTTAGTATCCAAGTTACTTTTAGGAATTTTATTTTTAATAGTGATTTATTTATTTTTAATACAACTAGTGCAGATGTCAGCAGGTTCATAAACAATGTCAGAGGTTTCATAAACAATCTGTTTGTGATATTTACATGTGGATGAATTTTGGTATGCAGGGCCAAAACTTCTTGGATTCTTTGGGAGATAACCAGGGAGCAGCATTCCTGGACCCCAGTTTTAGAGGACAGACCCCCCTCACCCAAGCAGAGCTAGCTTAAAATTACATGAAGGCATGTGGACTTGGAAAATAATAAAAAGTTCTGTTAAATCTAGGCCCACCAGTTTCTCCACTTGACTTCACGCTCTCTGTGTAGCCTATGCAAATGGTTTTTGTTTTTATAACCAGTTATTTAATTAATGACATGATTAGAGCTTATTTAAATTCTTAAAACATACACACATAACTGATTTCCCTGTGAGATTATAAAAACTTTTAATTAAATCAACAATTTATAAGAACCACAAAGAGGATTAGAATTAATTCATTAATTTTAAATACTTAATAATGTGTATTACATTAATAATATAGTTAGATTTCACTTTTTTAAGTCCTTTGAGAAATGAATAGAAATTGTTATGAGGATGATACTGAAATTCAGTAGTGCTTTTTTTAAATTTTCTTCAGCTGTTCTATTTGCCCGTGGTATACATTTAACGTAGTATTTATGCAGTACTTTTTACAGTACTTCTAGTAATACCTCATCATTTTGTGATGATAAAAACTTGTTTTTTTTGTTTGTTGTATCCAGATAGCCTCCAGAATTCTTAGGCTTTACTTCCTTTGAACATTTTTATTCGATTATTATATTCAAGTTTTACTAGTAGACCACTCTATCTAGATTATCAAAAAATATATCCACTAAAACAAAGATGAGGGGGCAAAAAAAAAATTTCAAAAAGACCTTTTAAACATTAGAATTCAAGTAGTAGGTAGGATAAGAAAAGAATACAATATAAGCATGAATATATCTTCAAAATATAAATTACAAGTATTTCAGAATGCAATTCAGAGATCTGCAAGTAGGAAAAGACTTAGAGGGGTCATGCAAGCTACAGGATAAGGTTATCTTTAAAAAATACAAGCAAGAATGAGAATATTAAACTGTTTAAAATACAGATTGAACGAATATATCCTTCAGCTTAAATGTTTTTCAAGGTCTGTGAAACAGTTAAGGCTGATTGCTACAGACCTATTTTATGACCAAAGTAACTTCCCTGAGACTTATTTTCTCATCTTTGAAATGGGCCGATCAGATTGGATGATCTCTGAATCTTCTTTGAGCACAATCACTTCATCTTGATATGAAGCAAAGGCAAGGGTTTCATAGGCCATAGATCAGATATTTTATGTTTGTTTTTCTTTTTCTGGCTCATTCTGTTTCCCTCTCCCTCCCTCCTTGCCTCCCCTCTTTCTTTTCTCTGCTTGTAGCCCCTACTTCTTCCCCTTGTTCAGCTTTCCACCTTCTTTCTTCCTTTGTTTTCTTTCTGACAGAAAAGACATAAGAGATAAGTTTAATATTCGTGGTTGTTTTGTGATGGGCATTTGGAAACTAAAAGAGGTCAGAAGAACCGTTGTGTCCTGATGTGAAAAAGGCTTCAAGAGCTATTGCTCATTGTCCATTTCTGGAAAAGAGCAGCACCCAGGAAGCCAGTTTAGACTGTTTCCACGGCCAGCAGTGGGGCTGGCTTTGTTCAGATGCATTCACATGGATGGAAAGCAGCTGATTTATGTTGTCCGCCTCCATATGTGAAAACCCCCAAACTGTTTTGATTATAGCAATACAGGAAGAAGGTTATGAAGGGAAAAGAAACAAATTAATCCACTTTCTTTGGGAGAGAGCTGGGATAATTTGTAAAGGGCTGCACTGAAGAAAAATAAGTTTCTTAAAGAGAAAAAAAAAAATCCCTGGCATGAATTAGTCACATTTATGTGCAGAATGTAAGCCTGCTTAATACTGAGGGAAAAAACTGCCTGTACTTATAGGATAGGACAGAGAACAAACTAAAAAATTATACCATCCAACATGAAATAAAACAAATGGAACTCCTCCACCCACCCACCCTGCCCTGGATATCAAGGCAGACACTTCAAGGCATCCTTACATGCATTAATTATATTATTCTCCATGGCAGTACAAAGCCGTGAAAAGATAGAGGTCTTTAGCCACTCTCTGTTCTGGGACGGAAGTATATCACATGTATTTACATCTGTCCTAAATTAAAAAGAAATATGCAACGTAAATAAATACAACACACAAAAGATGACCAAAACCCCACGCTGCCTTATAGATAATCTATTTTTAATCAAGTTAGGGTGATCCGTATGCTAAAAAGGAAATAACTTTCTGAAGCCCTGTAAAAAGGGTTAGTAAATACAATTTTTTTCAATAATTTTTTTCTGTTTCTTGAGAAGAAAAGTAGGGGAGGGAGGAGAGAAAGAAAGACAGGAGAGTAGCATTGCCAGATAAAACCAGTGCTTTTAAGTATCTCCAGAATGAGTCTAGTTCTGAGTATTTTAGCAAGCATAATTATTTCAGTTTGAATATGGTAATCTGTCTCTTTTCATTCATTGATTTCTTTAGGACAGTATACCAAACAATGTAAGTATCTGGAAATGCAAAGGTCTAGTGCTCTGGACTGCAAGTTTCCTAAAGTCATAAAAAACAAAAGATCCCCAGAAAAAGATATCTCTGCTTATTTTCACACAAAGAGTTTTCATTTTCTGTTTGGTATGAATATGATTTTTGAAATATCATGAAAGAAGTATATTAAATTTTTTTAAAGTTATTGAGAATCAGCCTGATTTTAGCGATCATAATGATAGATCACTGTGATTTCTAACTATTTGGAGGCTGTGTGGGGTTTATAAAAATATAATGGGCAATAGGCAATAATTTATTTAATGAAATTTCAGCATTGAATGTAAACTCTAAATATATGTTTGTGTTCATTTTCCATAGACAAAATTAGTTTTGTGAATAAATTTTCATTTGTAGTTTGCAAGACATATCAAGAAATCTGAAGGCCAGAAAATTCCCAAAGTTGAGTTGCAAATCTCAATTTATGGAGTGAAAATTCTAGAACCTAAAACAAAGGTAAGGTTTATTTTTGAACATCAGAAGCATTCTACTCTTTCATTAATTGCAGTCACATTCCTGCGTTAATAAATATTTAAAATATGTTACCCAGTGGCTCAGCGGTAAAGTATCCACCTGCAATGCAGAAGGTGCAGATGTGGGTTCGATCTCTGGGTCAGGAAGATTGCCTGGAGTAGAAAATGGTAACCTACTCCAATATTCATGCCAGTAAAATCCCATGAACAGAGGAGCGAGCTGTGCCAAAGTCATGGAGTTGCAAAGAGTTGGACACGTCTGAGCGTGCTCACACTCACCCACTGAAACTACCTAGTTCTCAGTTAATGACAATTTAGAACTCTACAGGATTTATAGGGGGAAAAACAATGTTTGGATTTGCTTTCTGAGTGGTTTGTTCTTCAGCCTGTGTCTGGGATATAACAATCTATATTGAGTGTATTCAGTGGTATTGGTCTTGTATTTAGGAATTTTTCTTCATATGCTTTGAGAGAGATGCATTTAAGTTCGGTTCACAGAGTATGAAAGAAGACAAAAGCTGTATGATGTTCATTACAGCGTCCTGACCGACCCTTATTACCTGTAGACATAATCAGTGTGTATTAGTTTACTATGGTTTCCATAATAAAATACCACAGACCTGGTGGCTCCAAAAATAGAAATTAGTTTCTCACAGTTCTGGAGGCTGGAAGTCCATGAGTAAACTAAGAGCAGCAGGCTTGGTTTCCTCTGAGGCTTCCCTCCTTGGCCAGCAAATGGCAGCCCTCTTGATGTCTCTTTGCATGGTGGTCTGCACATACACTCCTGGTGTCTCTCTGTGTGTCTAATTTCTTCCTCTGAGAAAGTCACCTCCTCTTATAAGCTGGCTTAAAACTTAACATTCAAAAAACTAAGATCGTGGCATCTAGTCCCATCATTAATGGCAAATAGATGGGGAAAAAGTGGAAACAGTGACAGATTTTATTTTCTTGGGCTCCAAAATCACTGCAGAGGGTGGCTGCAGCCACCAAATTAAAAGACACCTGCTCCTTGGAAAAACATCTAGACAGCATATTAAAAAGCCAGACATCACTTGGCTGACAAAAGTCTGCATAGTCAAAGCTATGGTTTTTCCAGTAGTCATGTAAAGATGTGAGAGTTAGACCATAAAGAAGGCTGAGCACCAAAGAATTAATGCTTTCAAGTTGTGGTGCTACAGAAGATTCTTCAGAGTCCCTTGGACAGCAAGATGAAATCAGTTAATCCTAAAGGAAATCAACACTGAATATTCATTGAAAGGATTGATGCTGAAGCTGAAACTCCAATACTTTGGCCATCTGATGCAAAGAGCTCACTTACTGGAAAAGACCCTGATGCTGGAAAAGACTGATGGCAAGAGGAGAAGGGGGTGACAGAGGTTGAGATGGTTAGGTAGCATCACTGATACAATGGACATGAGTTTGAGATACTGGGACATACTGAAAGACAGGCTACCCTAGTGTGCTATAGCTAATGGGGCCACAAAGAATGGGACACAACTTAGGGAATGAATGACAACAACAGAAGGACACAAATCAGATTGAGGAACCTCTAATGACCTTACTTTAGCTTAATCAGCTCTTTCAAGCCTTATTTCCAATTAAGTTGGAAACACAATATAGTTTTGTTTTGAGGTATGGGGAAGGAAGCCTTCAACATATAAATTTGGGTAGGGGGACAAAATTCAGCACATAACACATGGTAACACTGTAAATGTGAGGTTCTTGTATATCTCCCCTACAGATCCAATGGGGAAAAAAAAAATGAAAATATAATCTCTTCCAGATTCCAAAGTAGGAAAAACCACTAGACCATTCAGGTATGACCTAAATCAAATCCCTTACAGTTAAACAGTGGGGGTGAAAAATAGATTCAAGGGATTAGATCCAATAGGCAGAGTGCCTGAAGAACTATGGACAGAGGTTTGTGACACTGTACAGGAGGCAGTGAACAAGACTGTCCCCAAGAAAAACAAATGCAAAAAGGCAAAATGGTTGTCTCTTCAGTTCAGTCACTTCCCACTCTTTGCGACCCCATGGACTGCAGCACGCCAGGCCTCCCTGTCCATCACCAACTCCTGGAGTTTACTCAAACTCATGTCCATTTGGTCGGTGATGCCATCCAACCATCTCATCCTCTGTCGTCCCCTTCTCCTCCCTCCTTCAATCTTCCCCAGCATCAGGGTCTTTTCAAAAGAGTCAGTTCTTCACATCAGGTGGCCAAAGTATTGGAGTTTCAGCTTCAACATCAGTCCTTCCAATAAATATTCAGGACTGCTTTCCTTTAGGATGGACTAGTTGGATCTCCTTGCAGTCCAAGGGACTCCTAAGTCTGAGGAGGCCTTAAAAAAAGCTGATAAAGGAAGATAAGCTCAAGGCACAGGAGAAAAGGAAAGATATACCCATTTGAATGCAGAGTTCCAAAGAATAGCAAGGAGAAATAAGAAAGCCTTCCTCAGTGATCAAATACAAAGAAATAGAGGAAAACAATAGAATGAGAAAGAAGAGAGGTCTTTTCAAGAGAATGAGAGATACCAAGAGAACATTTCATGCAAAGATGGGCTCAATAAAGGACAGAAATGGTATGGACCTAACAGAAGCAGAAGATATTAAAAAGTGGTGGCAAGAATACACAGAAGATCTATACAAAAAAGATCTTCATGACCCAGATAACCACGACGGTGTGATCACTCACCTAGAGCCAGATGTCTTGGAATGTGAAGTGGACCTTAGGAGCATCAATGTAGTGTGTACACAAAGCTTGTGGAGGTGATAGAATTCCAGTTGAGCTATTTCAAATCCTAAAAGATGATGCTGGGAAAGCGTTGCACTCAATATGCCAGCAAATTTGGAAATCTCAGCAATGGCCACAGGACTGGAAAAGGTCAGTTTTCATTCCAATCCCAAAGAAAGACAATCCCAAAGAATATTCAAACTATTGCACTCATCTCACACACTACCAAAGTAATGCTCAATATTCTCCAAGCCAGACTTCAACAGTACATAAACTGTGAAATTCCAGATGTTCAAGCTGGATTTAGAAAAGGCAAGAAATCAGAGATCAAATTGCCAACATCCACTGGATCATCGAAAAAGCAAGAGAGTTCCAGAAAAACATCTACTTCTGCTTTACTGACTATGCCAAAGCCTTTGACTGTGTGGATAACAACAAACTATGGAATATTCTTAAACAGATGGGAATAGCAGACCACCTGACCTGCCTGCTGAGAAATCTGCATACAGATCAAGAAGCAACAGTTAGAACAGGACGTGGATCATCAGACTGGTCCCAAATTGGGAAGGGAGTACATCAAGGCTGTATATTGTCACCCTGCTTATTTAAATTATATACAGAGTATCATGCAAAATGCAAGGATGGATGAAGCACAAGCTGGAATCAAGATTGCCAGGAGAAATATCAATAACCTCAGATATGCAGATGACACCACCCTTATGGCAGAAAGCAAAGAAAAACTAAAGAGCCTCTTGATGAAAGTGAAAGGAGAGTGAAAAAGTTGGCTTAAAACTCAATGTTCAGAAAACTACAATCATGGCATCTGGTCTCATCACTTCATGGCAAATAGATAGGGAAATAATGGAAATAGTGAGAGACTTTATTTTGGGGGACTCCAAAATCACTACAGATGGTGACTGCAGCCTTGTAATTAAAAGATGGTTGCTCCTTGAAAGAAAAGCTATTACCAACCTAAACAGCATCTTAAAAAGCAGAGACATTACTTTGCCAGCAAAAGTCCATCTAGTCAGAGCTATTGTTTTTTCCAGTAGACATGTATGGATGTGAGAGTTGGACTATAAAGAAAGCTGAGCACCAAAGAATTGATGCTTTCTAACTGTGGTGTTGGAGAAGACTCTTGAGAGTCCCTTAGCAAAGAGATCCAACCAGTCCATTCTAAAGGATATCAGTCCTGAATATTCATTGAAAGGACTAATATTGAAGCTGAAACTCCAATACTTTGGCCACCTGACGCAAAGAACTTACTCCTTGGAAAAGACCCTGCTGCTGGGAAAGATTGAAGGCAGGAGGAGAAGGGGATGACAGAAGATGGATGGCATCACCAACTCAATGGACATGAGTTAGAATAAGCTCTGGGATTTGGTGATGGACAGGGAAGCCTGGCATGCTGCAGTCCATGGAGTCACAAAGAGTTGGACACGACTGAGCAACTGAACTGAACTGATTCCACATTCACATTAATATGTAGTTGTAAATGTAATTTTCACCTAAAATTCATATGTTGAAGCCCAACTCACAATATGGCCATATTTGGAGATAGAGCCTTTAAGATAATTAAAGTTAAATGAGGTCAAAATTAGACCTTAATTCAATAAGACTGGTGTCCTTACAATAAGAGAAAGAGACATCAGGTGTGCGTGAATACAGAGGAATGCTATGTGAGAACATAGCAAGAAGACAGCCATCTGTAAGCCAAGAGGCGAGGCTTTAGCAGAAACCAAACCTGCCAATTCCTTGGTCTTGGACTTTAAGCCTCCAGAACTGTGAGAAAATAGATTTCTATTCAATCTGTAGTATGTTGTTATGGGAGCCCTGGAAAATAAATATAGTTCTTTATTCATAATGCCTCAGAATTATTGTTTAGTAATTTTGATAAAATCATGAAAGTCAGTTTCAAAAAACTGATTAACATTCAACCCCAATTATTTTACAAATATATATTAGCAATGCTTTCTTTTAATACAGTAGCATGTTTACTGACCAGGCTTCCCTGGTGGCTCAAATGGTAAAGAATCTGCCTACAATGCAAAAGACCTGTGTTCAGTCCCTGGGTTGGGAAGATCCCCTGGAGGAAGGCATGGTAACCGACTCCAGTATTTTTGCCTGGAGAATCCCCATGGATGGAGGAGCCTGGCAGGTTGCAATCCATGAGGTCGCAAAGTCGGACACAACTGAGCAACTAAGCAAGCTTACTGACCAGTTAATTCAATTTGAAAGCCCTAGGAAATCTAGCCTGTAAACAGATTATGAAAATATTTTCATAGATCTTCAGAGTATACTAATCCATCATTTGCCACTGATATCTTCAATCGATGTGTGTAACAACCCCTGACAATGTCTTGCTATTCAAAGAGTGGTCTGTGTTGATACTGTTTAAAAAAAAAAAAAATGTCAGTGAGGAAGAGACTGGCCAGTCAGGCAAAGTGTAGGAGAAGGATAGTCTCAGGAAATATGCCTTCAGCAGAAGCCTTAGTAAGTTGAGCATTTGTACCTCCTTGCTATTGAAATGGCTGAATCAGGCTATCTAGCAGTAACTAAACAATCATACGGTATACAGCCTCATTTTAATTTTCATGCTTGCAAACAACTCTTTGATGACTTATCTTTGGTTTTGTATGCAAGGAAAGAATGCACTGCTGTAGACAATTTATCTTAACATTTACTTTTATAGCTCATTTTTGTGTACTCATTTTCAGCCGATGATCAGTAAAGTGAATAAGAGTTATAGATCAAATCTCAGCAAGCAGACATGTCAATCTCTGAACTTAGAAGGATCCAGTGACAGATGCTATAGTTACAGTTCTTTTTAGCTCAATCAGTAAAGAATCTTCCTGCAGTGCAGGAGCCCCAGGTTTGATTACGGGATGGAGAAGATCCCCTGGAGAAGGAAATGGCAACCCACTCCAGTATCCTTGCCTGGAGAACCCCATGGACAGAGGAGCCTACAGGCTCCAGTCCATTGGGTCGCAAGAGTCAGACATGACTTAGCAACTAAACCACCATACATATGTATACACACACAGTATATATATATACTGCATATATAGTATTTATCTTACTACTAATTAACAAGCTTAACTCAGTAATTTGGAAGCTGAATGTGTAAATCTTCTTCATTCATTGCTCCAATGGAAAACATTGCAGAGGTTGCAAGGATGATTTTCCTTAGACAGAAGAGGCTCAAGAGTATTTGAGTTTACCATGAAGACATGTACTGTATAATATGTTTCATATGAAATTATATACAGATGAAGTTATGTTTTAAGCTGTAATATTAGTAGCAATAAAAAAGATTCTGGTTCAAAGGGTTCTGCCAATTCTGTAACCTTTTGGAAATATATGAATCTATCTAGACCTCAGTACCCTCCTAAGTAAAACTGCACAGTTGAAAGTAATGGTATCTGAAGATCCCTTGTAGCTCAGGAAACCCATGAACCTCTGATCCTCCTTCCCCTTGTGTTTTTCTAAGTGCTATTGAAATGACTTAGCTAAATCCTGAGTCAGGAGGTTTATCTCATTACGTTTTTATTTAAGTTGAGGTGTATGTAATTATAAAACCAGAGTATGACAGATGATGTTTCATAAGTTGTATGTTATTAGCACAGCTGGTATTCCAGAAAAAGAAAAAAGAAATCTCTTCAACTATGTTTATTTTCATCTGTGTTCACAGGAAGTTCAACACAATTGCCAGCTTCACAGAATATCATTTTGTGCAGATGATAAAACTGACAAGAGGATATTCACTTTCATATGCAAAGATTCCGAGTCAAATAAACATTTGTGCTATGTTTTTGACAGCGAAAAGTGTGTAAGTATGCCAGATGTTTTAGGGTGGTTTGCTCTACTTTGCAAGTCAGGAATTATCTTGTTTCCAGCATTAGTAAAATATTTAGAAATGAACAAGGTCTGCAAATACTTAACTTCACTAATAGATTCTTCCTGTCATGAGAATATGCTTCAGAATTTCATCCCTAACTAAATTTCACGTTCATGTGCACAAGCTTGCATGCAAATATCTTTCCTTAGAATGTCATCCTTATGTTATATGTTTACCTGTCTTATAATCACTTGACTTACTTGAAATTTTAAACTCAAATACAATTTAGCAATATGCATATAATGTAAAAGAGTAATGGTAAAGCAAAGTATTATTTTCAGGAATGTCATGGATCTGATGAAAATAAATATTTTAAACTGTAGGAAATGAAATTTGTATGGCTCCTCAAAAAAAAAAATCTTATACTTTAAAACTCTGGTTCTTGATTTTCATTATTCAGAAAACTGTATATAATGAAATGTGATAGAATTGTGTGTACATGTGCCTAGGTGAGTGATTGAGCTTGTGAATATAATCTAAAGTTCTTAGCAAGTAAGAACAATTAGGATATTCCAAAATTAAGCTCTCTAACAATTCTTTAATCAACTGGAATTCTTAAGGAAAACCCTATATCTTGACTATATGCATAAGCTAATACTAATGATAGCCTAGTCTGAGGTCCTGTTATAAAATGTAATATGTGAATTCCAAGCACACATTATAGCCATTGATAGCTTTAAATGAGGAAGAACATTTAATCTCAACAGGATTGCCTTAGACAGGAAGAAATTTAGTTTATTTACTATTCATTTTATCATACTGCCAAAATAGCAGGGAATAATATTGCTATCACTATAATTTATTTCTTTAATTTCAGTATGTGGGCTTCTTAAAAACAAATACTTTTTTATCTGTCCATGTAACTCCTGCATCAGGTGGAAAATAGATGCTCAATGAATTTTTTCCTTTAAAAAGGCTATGTGGATAAATTGACAAAAGGTAGAGCAAGTTATTATCTCTATCTTTTAAACGTTGGTTCTTTAAATAAGCAAACTAATGTGCTAACCTATTTGGCATCATAATATGTTTTGAAAATTTGATGAATATTATGAAATATCTTGTCAGAATAATATCCTTATTTGTTTAAGACAATGTTATGTGAACTATATGGCATTTTGTATGAAATTAAAAAGTTCTATTTGAAATGTATCCTATTGAATGAATGCTGTATATTTAATGTCCCAGGTGCTTCTTAACCATGATTACTTGCAGGTGTTTTCTCTGTAATTGAGAAGATTAAAGTTGATATTTGTTTAATATCTTCTACATGTAAGATATTATAATCTTTTACCACTTAGGACAAACAGTAAATTCAATTGTCCTTCTTTCATGCCTTACCTATAGAAATAAACTTCCTTAGGATTTTTTGAAATATTCAAAACCCAAGTCCTTTGTAAATACTAGTCTTTTTATAGTTTTATGTCACATTTTACCTTTCTCTGGTCTCAAAACTTGTTACATGATTATTGAAACATACACTTGCCAGAATTCCCCATTGTTTTCAAAGTACAAACTGTATTTCTATCTGATCATAATTTTTTGTAATCAGTTTCCAAAATTTCACTTCCTTGACCCATTATTCCTCTCTTGATATAGCATATTAGCTTTCTTATTTCTTGAAAGTTGAAAATATTTTCTTGAAGCCTATACCAGTGGCTCACAACCATTAGTGTGCATGATTTCTAAATTATGATTGACATCAGAAGCAAAAAAATGCTTTCTGATATGATTCTAAATGAATATATAGAAGATATGTAAGGCAAGAATCTGTTGGATCATCGAAAAAGCGAGATATTTCCAGAAAAATATCTACTTCTGCTTTATTGACTATGCCAAAGCCTTTGACCATGTGGATCACAACAAACTGGGGAAAATTCTACAAGAGATGGGAATACCAGACCACCTGACCTGCCTCCTGAGAAATCTGTATGTAGGTCAAGAGGCAACAGTTAGAACTAGACGTGGAAAAACAGACTGGTTCCAAATCAGGAAAGGAGTACGTCAAGGCTGTATATTGTCACCCTGCTTATTTAACTTATATGCAGAGTACATCATGAGAAATGCTGGGCTGGATGAAGCACAAACTGGAATCAAGATTTCCGGGACAGATATCAATAACCTCAGATATGGAGATGGCACCACACTTAATGGCAGAAAGCGAAGAAGAACTAAAGAGCCTCTTGATGAAAGTGAAAGAGGAGAGTTCAAAAGTTGGCTTAAAACTCAACCTGCTTATTTAACTTATATGCTGAGTACATCATGAGAAATGCTGGGCTGGATGAAGCACAAACTGGAATCAAGTTTGCCAGGACAAATGTCAATAACCTCAGATATGCAGATGACACCACACTTAATGGCAGAAAGCGAAGAAGAACTAAAGAGCCTTTTGATGAAAGTGAAAGAGGAGAGTTCAAAAGTTGGCTTAAAACTCAACATTCAGAAAACTACAATCATGACATCTGGTCCCATCACTTCATGGAAAATAGATGGGGAAATAATGGAAACAGTGACATACTATTTTGGGGGGCTCCAAAATCACCTCAGATGGTGACTGCAGCCATGAAATGAAAATATGCTTGCTCTTTGGGAGGAAAGTTATGACCAACCTAGATAGCATATTAAAAAGCAGGGACATTACTTTGCCAACAAATATCTGTCTAGTCAAAGCTTTGATTTTTCCAGTAGTCATGTATGGATGTGAGAGTTGGACTATAAAGAAAGCTGAGCACTGAAGTATTGATGCTTTTGAACTGTGATATTGGAGAAGATTCTTGAGAGTCCCTTGGACAGCAAGGAGATCCAAACAGTCCATCCTAAAGGAAATCAGTCCTGAATATTCATTGGTAGGACTGATGCTGAAGCTGAAACTCCAATACTTTGGCCACCTGATGTGAAGAACTGACTCTTGGGAAAAGACCCTGATGCTGGGAAAGATTAAAGGCAGGAGGAGATGGGGACGACAGAGGATGAGATGGTTGGATGGCATCACCAACTCAATGGGCATGAGTTTGAGTAAACTCCAAGAGCTGGTGATGGACAGGGAAGCCTGTCATGCTGCAGTCCATGGGGCTGCAGAGTGTCAGACACGACTAAGTGATCTGAACTGAACTGAAGGCAAGTATATTATGAACAGAGAAAATTAAAGGCATATAAATGGAGGTAAGGTTTCTACACCTTTCAGACTGGAAAAATGACAGCACTAGTAGGCTGAGATAGTTATATAGATGTAATATGAATCCCAGAGCAACCACTAAAAAACCTATAAAATGGGATACATTCAAAAATACATTGGCCCAAGTGAATGTGTTAATATCAGATGAAATACACTTCACAGTAAAGAAAATTACATAAAGGAGGCAATATTTAATAATAAAAAGCTCATACTACCAAGAAAACAGCAACCTAAATTTGCATTGCCAAATCAGAGAGCTACAAAATAAATTAAATAAAAACTGATAGAAATGAAAAGAAATATAGGGTCAGTAGGCAAATACACAATTATATTGAAGATTTCACCACCACTTTTCTTAAAATTAATGGAACAACTAGACAGGAAATCATCAAGAATATAGATTCACTCAACAGCATCATCAACTAATGGAATCTAGTTAACAACCACAGAGAACTTCATTCAACAACAGCAGGTTGTTTGGCACATTGTTTTCAAGTGCCAAAGGAACATGTACCAAAATAGACTGTATCTGGAGCTGTAAGACAAATCTCAAAAGTGTAAAAGAGTTGACATTATTAAGCAAGTGCTTTTCAACAACAAAGGAATCAACCTAAAAGTGAAGAACAGAAAGATTATATGAAAGGCTTCAAAAACCTGGAAGTTTTGTTTATCCACATGTCAAAAAGGGCATCGCGTTTGTAAACACTCAGTAGGTCAAGGAGGAATCTTCAAAGAAAAAATTATTAAATGTGTGAACTATATAGAAATGAAATAGAACATACCAGTATTTATGAGATACAGCTAAAGCAGTTCTGGGAGAGAAATTTATAGCAAGTTAATATATTTAAAAGCAGAACTTTTCAAATCAGTAATCTAAGCTGCCAGCTTAAGTACTTAGAAAACAGGTTATCAAATTAAACAGAAGGATGAAAATAAGAAAGATAAGAGAAGAAATTAATGAAATGGAAAACAAAAACAATTAAGAAAATCAATAACACAAAGAGCCGTTTCTTTAAAAGATCATAAGAGTAACAAAACTTCAGTTAAGATTAGTAAAGCAAAAAAAAAAAAAAGAAATTACCAATATCAGACATTAAACAGGGATTTCACTGAAGAACCTCCAGATATCAAAAAATATTAAGAGGATGCTATAATCAACTATGTACACATAAATTTGACAACATAGAAGAATTAATTTCTCAAAAACAAAAGTGACTGACTACCCAATATTGGATAATTTGAATAGCCTTGTAACTGTAAAGAAAATTGAATTTATAATTTCAAACTTACTAAAGTAGAAATCTCCCTACTCCTAGATAGTTTTACTCTGAAGGAATCCATAAGATGCTTTAAGAGGAGTTAACATTTTTCTGCACAATCTATTCCAAATAACAGAAGTGAGAAAACTCCAAAAATTCATTTTTATGAAAGTTTTATTTTTTAGACAGTGCAAAAAAAGGAAACTACAGACCAATAATCCTCAGGAATATGGATGCAAATATTTCCAGCAGAATATTAAATATAATTCAGCAATATATAAAAGAATTATACAGCAAATCCAAGCAGAGCTTGTTCCTGGGATGTAAGTCTTATTCAGCATCAAAAATCCAATAATATAATCACCATATTAACAGGTTAATGAACTAAAGTATATAATCCTATCAACAAACATTTTAAAAAATATTTGAAAATAATCATCATCCATTCATGGTTAAAAATCTCAGGAAAATAGGAAAAGAAGGAAACTTCTTTTACTTGT